CAATATCTTTTCCTAAAAGAGCCCACGTATTTCCGGAATTGCTTGGATTGTGGCTTTAAATTTCCATCAATAAATAGACTTTAATCATATACGCCTGATGGTAAAATTTTGTTTCTGGAAAGTATCCGTCGTCCTCTTTTATTTAAAGCACAACGTTGCGGAGCCTGGTTCCTGTTTCCGTCTTCAGGTGGAACCTACTCAGTTAGGTCCAATCGTTAGAGCTAGTCACTATCTCCGGACTAGCTCTATAGATTGGGCCCAACCGAGAAGGTTCCACCTGAAGACAGAAACATAATTCAGTTTCAGAAACGCTGTTCTAAATAAAAACAGGACGAGGAATAATACCCAGAAACACAATAACTGTATTATGATATCGTCACAAACCTTCCGACATTATTTACGTCTGTTAGACTTAACAGTAGCTTTAACTAGATGACGATAAACGGAAAATCGGATTTCTTCTTTTTAAAACGTTCGCAAAATGTAACTTATGAAGTTATGGAATTAGTACTGTTTCATGACAGTACGCAATATCGAAAGTCTAGCAAACCTTTCGCGGCTAATTTTTAAGCGCCGTCGATCTGACAGCATTTAATTTAAATATTCTTCTAACTTTATCGGTCCAATTCCACATCGAGTCGCCCACACTTCGTCGATCTGATCACTGCAGGGCCGACATTTGCATCGGCTTATGAAATGCGACACCTCACTGGTTTGAAGCTGGGCACCCTGATACAAGACACACCACGTTCGATAAAGGCATTTGAGAGTTAGTAAAAAGAACATTTATTAGTCGCAGCGTGTACTGAATCAGATATGGAGGTTAGAATATCTAACCTTTTCCTCAGTGACCCTTAGGCCACCAGCGAACTATACCGACCGAGCGACCGCCGCTTGCAGGCAAAGTTAGAGCCACCTTCTGCGGATAGAGGATGTCGCGCGGTCAGCGCAACGGATTCCCAAGGCTGTAAAATCTCGGTTTTCTAGACCAACGACCATACCATGTTGAAAAAAACCGGTTCTCGTCCGCAGGATATCTATCAGCTACTTTTGTGTGGCGTCAGTTCTAACAGTGTGACGGGGCGAGTGCTTACTCAGCCAATGTTGGCGCATGACATTCGGAATGTGGAAATGTGCGGTCACTCTTAATTCAGGAGAGGAAGACAGACACAATTTTAAGAATAAGCACTAGACAGAATATACTTAAAAAGTTATTTACATTACAACGAATAAAAGTCAAAGTCTTCCCTTATACGAATATTTACGCAGAATGACGTAAGGCTGTAGCTGAACATCAGCACTGAAACTGAAGTGTGTGGTCAGTTTCGCCCTCCGGTTGATTTACACCCCCACCACCAGCCTCAACCCCCCCGGAAACAGCTGCTGGTAACCACTGGTGAGCAGGTTGCATGTTGTCCCACATCTGGTATGGATGTCGTCGTGACGAAACAACTGTCCCTATTGCTGCAGACAACAGAACCGCTGCGCCCGTGGCCAATTTCAGACGTCATCAACATCTTAACTTCAGAGCACTGGAAACCTTCCTCTTCCGGCCTGACTTCCAATTTATTTCTTTGGCTGTTAAACACCTATTTTGCCCCTTGGCCTAAAATAGAAAGCTCTTTCTAGTATTCGTGTCGCTGAGTACCTTCAGATGGTCTAGCCGCCTGGCTCTTATATTTCTCATTATGAGTCGGTGTAGCGACTGGCTACGAGGCTGGACGACTGAGAAGTCGGAGTCCCGGTACGGTCAAGAAATTTCTCCAAATCGTCCTGGCCGGCTCTGGGGTCCACTCCACCCAGCCTCCTATCCAATAGGTACCGGGGGTAAGGCGGTAGGGGCGTGAAGCTGACCACTCACCTCCATCTAGTGTCCAGCTCAAGAAAATGTGAATCTGGACATCCACACCCCCATACGCCGTCATGCCGTAGTGCTTAATTCGTTCACCACAGGGACATCTACTTAATACATCTATAATTATATTTCGCAATTTCTAATCCAATTCATTTTTGCGCATCCCTTAGGTGACATTAAAATCGTCATTTCTGAGGACTGAATCTTAGGTTGGTCTTCTATGTCCGGCTTTACGCGAACGTACACATGACGGGTGAATACACAGTTATCCTAAATCAGAGCACAGTTCTAACAGCCGCCTCATTCAACCGGCGCATCCACCCATACACTTGGCACGATGCAACACCAGACCCACCCAATCGACCTTGCAGGCCTTGACCACTGATCCCTACCTAGTCACGTTCAATATGTGCAGAATTAAAGAAAACGCCACAGTTCGCAAGCCAAGATCCTAGAATGAATGATTCACCACCCCCTTTTCACGTCATGAAGCTCTTCTGCTTCTCCCTCTCTCATCCGGGATACTATTGTGAGCTAATACGTAATCCTGACGCTTCTTTCGAAATGACATCATCAGCTTTCATTAGCCGAGCTTGGCCATCTGCGTACACAGCGGTGCGCAATGCCTTACGACCTCTGCGGCAGGATATAAATCCAGCAGGGCGAAAGAAAGGGGATAAGGTTCGCGGTTACTCCTCGTTTCCAAAATGGACACAAGCCAGTTTACGTATTTTTATTGTAATCTACATGGGTGGGCCAAGAAGGCTTACAGAACTGCACCATTTCCTGCACTGCCCCGTAAAACTACTAAGCAATAAATTTCAGTAACTTTAGAATGTGGAAGTGTTAAAACAGAAGGCTGTACTACAGAATATATTAACAGCTTATGACAACGAAAGCAGGAAAAAAACAGCCAGCTCCTAATTCAGATCTCGATCCCAGAACAGGCACAAGCTGTCGGCCTCACGATACGGTCGCTTTAAAAAGATGCGATGCATCGCAACACACAGACAAGCAACATCAACAACCGACAGACAACACACGTCAACAACATCCCGAAGAAAAAAGACTGGGCCAAGCGGGAAAGAATTCTAGGAATTTTAAGAATTCTTACTTCAAATAACGAAACATAATTTTTACAGAATTAACGACGAATTAAATAAGAAAGCTACCGTGGTGTGTGGAAAACCTTTAGTGAACCGACACTCTCGGCAATTTTAACTATTGTAATTATTTTAATTAACTGGAACGTGGCTATTTTTAACAAAGTGAAGTTTTGTGTGTTGGTGATTTCTTTTTCTACTATAAATGCCTCTGATGATGGCTCCGTGGTGAGCCGAAACATGTAAGGCAGGTGGTGACGAGGTGGAAAACTTATAAAAGTGTCACATTTGACGGAAGGAACTTGATTGTTAATCAATTCAATATTTCCTGGCAATAAGTTTCCTTACAAGTAGCTCATCAACGAATACATACAACTTTATTTCTTTGTAATAAGCCTACAGCCGGTTGAGTGATATCTCATGAAACAAAACAAACTGTGATTTTAGTCAGCAAGCGAACTATACCGAGCGACCGCCGCTTGTCAGCGAAGTTTAGTGCCTACTTTTGCGGATAGAGGGTGTCGCGTGGTCAGCGCAACGAATCCCCACGACCGTTAATTTTGGTTTTCTAGACCGGAGCCGCTATTTCCTTGAAAGAGCTCCTCAATTATAATAACGAGGCTGAGTGAACCCCGTTCCAGCCCCACTACTTCTCAGAAAAAAATCTTGTAGCGCCGGGAATCGAACCCGGACCTCTGGATCTGTAGCCAGGAACTCTGACCACTAGACCACAGAGGCGGTCCTGGGATATCTTATGAATATAAAAAAATAAAGCATGACAGACTTTTGAAAAAAGCAAGGTATGGTACTTAGATCAAATTATTCTGTTAATTCTTGTGCCACAAGACATTACTTCTCACAGCCAACGTAATGTTAGCATCCATTAACAATACAACGATAAACGATACTAGTACTGAATTATCCTTCAGGTAACTGACACTGGAAACATGTTTTTCCACAAACAGTGAACCACATGGAGGTCAACACTTTTTTGTACTACAAAATCTATCTACAGCAGCAATAATTTGTTGCAAGTTTCTGAAATTGTGGGCCCAGTTTTTAAAGCACGGTTGCATTACGATGTGTGCGCCATAAAGGTGATTCAGAATTAAATTGAGGTTAGATAGAACAGCTACGTAGGACAGTACAGGGTCCAAGACTTACCCTGACAAGGTCAAACTGCATGAGTAAACAATGTCCATGACCCCTTTTTTAACGTAATAAATTCGTTATCTAAGGGGGCCAACAAGAATCCATGCTGAACTGTGTTATGTCTTCACGTCTACATTTACATAAAATTACACTTCAAAATGGAAGTGCAAACCCACAGATTACACTACGAAGCAGCGTGTCCTCTAAAATTATTCCAATGAACAATAAATATGTACAATAGTCAAATCATAACAGGAGATACTACTAAAACTCATTAAACATACGGTGGCCATAAGGCCGTGCCATAGCTCAAGCAGTTAATCGCTGGCTTCCCACCGCGGCGGCCCGGGTTCGATCCCGGGTCTGGTCAAGTGGGATTTGTGGTGGACAAAGTGGCGCTGGGGCGGGTTTTCTCCGAGTACTTCGGTTTCCCCTGCCAATCTTCATTCCACCAAATTCCCCATCATCATACTCGCCCGGGGTAGGCTACAATAGGCCAATCAATGGCCGCCGTGCCGAGTGGGCTCTGTTACACTCCACCCCCACTAAGAGAATAAAAAAAATTACGGTGCCCATAAAATTCTATTCTATTTTGCTGCAATTAAACCAATCAGGGAAGTACAATACCATATTATTATTATTATAACAATGTCAGTATATCCTTGCATGACCACCGTATAATTGCAAAGCAAACTCAAATATTCGTACATCGTCTGCACTCAGAAACTTAGTTTCCTGCATATGTGGAGTTACGTAAGAACATTATGGTCACCCTTATTCAATTAACTAGAACTATGCACTATCTCAGGCTTTACATATTGCATGAAGCAATCGACAAGCCAATCACATGAACAACACGCACAGTATGTATGCAGTCTGCATCGGCCTACCTTCTTGTACAGCTTAATCCAGGTGAGGTCGCCTTTGCTATCTGTATACTGGAGACCGAAGAACCAAACCTCCCGTAGGCCGATTGTCTTCACAACTTGGTCAAACAGTTGCTTGCCAGTCGTCGTCTGCTGGATCGCGAACTCCAGTTCCGCGTCCATCGTAGTCACCCTGACATTCATCTGCAAAACAAAAGATACGTAAAAGAACGTGCCTGAGAAGCAACTCATTTCCGTGACTGATCATATCTTTATCCAGTGGCCAGTTTATTTTGTATGTATTTTGCTCACAAGATGTTCCAACACTGTCTCAACATTTATCATTTACTGCTTTTTTGGTGGCAATGTGGGTAAAAAAGTAAAGTAAAGATATCCCTATAACTGGCCGTGAAGGCCCATAGGGTTGTGACACGCTGAGGGTCCCACATTATCTAGACAGTCGGCTCAAAGGTGGCGGTAAGGTTGTCAGCCTTACGCGCAGGCCGCGCTTTACTCCCCAGGAAAATTATTTTATTAATTTCTCGTACTCATTTCTGTTAGAGGCTGAATCGACCCCAGGGCCATAGTGCGGCTGGAAGGATTGGGTCAACTGAAAAAAATCCAATGACCTCATCAGGACGTGAACCCGCGACCTTCCGGCTTGTAGCATAGCCCCTCAACCAACTATACTACCGTGTACCCCCGGCACTGTAAGTAGCTCACATTATTAAGAAATGAAAAGTCACAATGAAATCGAAAGAATATGGACGGAAGTGGCCGTAGCCTAGTGTGGGGTACTGTGCCACTCCGGCACTTGCCTGGATGGATGGAGGAAAAGGAACAAAAGTCGGAACAGCCCAGACTTGACCCAAGGACCTCCCGAATACACAGCAGTGACAATCGGTAGTTCTAGCGACAGTTTATTAAGATACTTGGCCATATTTTAATATTTAAAAGCCGAATTTGATGTCAAATTCAATTACATTACGTCAGTATAACGTTATGTTCGCATCGGGTTTAGAAGGCATAAATACAATTATATTCTAGAATGAATGGGTCTACTGTGGTCTTCTGAGCAATGTTACAGAAGACTACGTTCATGGTAAGGCTGACCAGGGTCAGGGATTTGAACCCGCTCAAAACGTCTTTCGCCATACTTAATGCCTATAACCATGCAGCGTAACATACTTTGTTATTTTCCACAAACTTTGTGCCAGTAGGAAAGTTTCTTTTGACTATTGCATGCCTCCCTCCCTCTTACCGTGCGACAAAGAATATCAGTAAGAAATACTTGTCGCAACAACTACTGGGTGTATTCGAGTATGAATACACTGTAGATATGTATATTAAGATTATTATTTAACGACGGTATCAGTATGAAGACTAGAATATAGTGCCTATATTTATAGTATTGAATTTTTGTGCCCGATATCTCTAACGATACGATGCAAGCTATCAAACAAGCACGTATCATTATCAACTTCACAATTTGCTGTAAATGTTTTGATATAAAAGTTTTAGTGGAATATATCTAAAATATATTACGAGCAAGACAAACCCAGCAAGTGCTCAAAAACTGTAGAAAAACGCAACTATAAATTGTAAAATTTCGTATTTTACGCGTGCTTAAAATTTTATTACCTTTTTTGTTTCAGCCAAGCAGCGAACTTCGAGTCCAGTTCCTCTGGGACCACTTCTTATTACATTTTACGACCTGACTTACTAAACGCCACTGAGATTACTGCGTCGGGGCCGCAAGCCGAAAGACTGCAAAAGCTTACAAGTTTCTCAAAACATTAACAAGCACCATCTGCGTAAAAGTTCAAATTTTCTACTGTAACGGTCTGGACGACCAAGGGGCCGGAGTTCGAGTCCCGATAGGGTCAAGAATTTTCTCTCTCCACGTCCTCCAGACAGACTGAGGTCCACCCAAGTTATCCAATGGGAACCGCGGGCTCTTTCGGGCGACAAAGCGGCCGGGGCGTGAAGCTGACCATTCACCTCCCAACTAGTGCCGAGATCAAGAAAACGTGGATCTATACATCCACTCCCCCATACGCCTTCGTGGTGTAGCTATCACCACTAACCGTCGAGGAAAATTTACGTTTTGCACTTATTAGACTTGGCACAAATAATTCACGGTACACCATGGTTATTCAAATTGTGGGCCGTGACCTCCCTAGGGGGGTCAAGTTCTCAATAAATATTTACACGCAGCATGAAGTATAGCTGTCCCTCTGCTTAACTAATTAAGCACTACGCCATGAAGGCGTATGGGGGAGTGGATGTACAGATCCACATTTTCTTGACCATGGCACTAGTTGGAGGTGGGTGGACAGCTTCATGTCCCGGCCTCTTTACCCCCGATACCCACTAGACAGAAGGCTGTGTGGACCCTAGAGCCGGTCTAGACGACGTAGAGAGAAAATTCTTCACCCTACGGGCACTCGAACTCCGACCCCTCGGCCGTCCAGCCCGTAGCCAGTCGCTATACCGACTATGTTTTCCCGGCTCCCATACTCAGTATGAACAGTTTAAAATACAGTACGCACACTTCTCGCAAGTCGGCAAGGTTTACAACAGGTGCTTGCAGAAAAGATGTCTGAAGCAGGCGAGACATTTTGCGGATTTTCCAATTACCGCACCGGAACATTTTATAAATTACTACACGTATATGTATACAGAGGCTGTGAGGTTACTTGGGAACGTCCCGATATGTCCCCGCAAAACTGAGCACTGCTGCAGGGATAGGGAGAGGGTCGCGTATACAATGTGTCCATGTTCTGCTAGGACTGTGCTCATTAAAAATACAAGACGGGAATTATTTTCAAAATTTCACTCTTTATTATTAAAAATAGTCTCCTGAATCACTACATAGCTGGAATCCATTGAAAAGTTTTCGAAAACAGTCACTGTACTCCTTTTGTGGAATCGCATTTAAAACTGGGGTACATTCCCTTTGGATGTCCTGGACGGTGTCGTGACGGTCTCCTTTCATCGTCAACTTAACTTTTGGGAACAACCAGAAATCTGCCGGAGCCAAATCTGGCGAACACAGAGAATGATCAAGGATTGTGATCCCTTTCTGGCCAAAAAAATCGCGCACGATCTTCGATTTGTGGGGTGAGGCATTGTCGAGTAGGAGCGACCAGGAACCTTGCTCTCGATATTCGGGTCGAATTCGTAGAATTTTCGCCCACAAACGTTTGAGGACTCGATATAATAATTAGAATTCACTTTTTGACCTTCTGGCGGAAATTCCTTGTGAATGGTTCCTTTGGAATCGAAGAAAACGGTTAGCAGTGTCCTTACTCGACTCTTTGGCATGGGCACTTTCTTTGGTTTCGGCTTCTTTGGGCTCAACCACGCTGAACTCTGCCCCTTTGTGAGAGGCTCATATTGAAAACACCATGTCTCGTCACCAGTAACAATCGATTTTGTAAATTCTGTATCCCTTTGGGCCGACTGTAACATGTCTTTGCAGTGTTCCACTCTGGCATGTTTTTCATTGTCTGACAGCGCGTGCGGTACAAACAGCGCACAGACCTTCCGTTTGCCCAAATCCTCAGTCAAAATTTGATGCACAGTACTCCTTCGTATTCCCAAAAGCTCCTCGATGAGTCTCGCAGAAACACATTTGTCTGATGCAAAGATTTCGGTCACTTTCTTCACATTTTCTTCAGTGCAACTTGTTATCGGATTTGATGCACGTGGAGCTTCTTCAATGTACTCCCTGCCGTCATGAAATACAGCATACCATTGAAAAATGTTCGAGCGACTCAAACAATCAGTACCGTACACATTTTTCATCTTTTTGTACGCTCCTCCGGCTGCTTTGCCTAACTTCAAACAAAATTTGACGTTGGCTCTCTGTTCAACCGCCATTTTCCGACGAGAGTCAGAACAGTACTGTTACATTCAAGGTCAGAACACATGATGAAGCGATGCTTGCGCCTTGAAATTACAGACAGCCACAGCTGAAACTTCAAGAATCTTAACGCCACAGCTCGCCAACAGTTGGCATTGCAGGGCAAATTCTAAAAAAAAAAAATGAGTCCTAACGGATCCTGGACACACCGTGTATTTATACAGATTGTAAATATTGTCACGTGTTGGGTACGTCACGCGACAAATAAGTTCATGTGGGTCTCGGATTTAGCGAATCTTTATTGGACATTGACTCTTACACACCTTACAATTATCACCACTTGCAGTGTCAGTTGACTTCTGGCCCAGTACTCCAATGCGACGTGTCAAACCGGATACCGGACACCGTTCCTCACGGTTCCGTTACCGCTGTTCAGACAGTCCGTTGTTACGGGAACGCTCTTTATAGAATACACTTGTAACGTGTTTCGTCTCATCCGTTGTTACTCAACGACAATTCGTTGCTACGATTTGTCGCTGCGGAAACTCCCCAATTTCCACGTATTCGTTGTCGTGGAAGTGTCCGTTCCGATTGTAGCGGTTGTCGCGGCGATGGACGTAAGGTACCGCGTCACAATATGTTATAACGCTGTGGTAGATAGATTGCTTCAATCTGATCATATATTTTTAACACACCAATGTTCGGAAACGCTTCCTTTTGGCACTAAAGGCCACCAAAAAGTCCAAGAGGATACATACGTTTTAGGGGATGTTATTGTTGTTTTACATTATAAAAGTTGCTCAAAATGGTGGCCGCCGACTTCATTGCATGTTCTTAAAGATTCCCGGCACTTCCCGGATGATTCCAGCCGCTACTGCAATTCTTGCCACAAGATCATGTTATTTCTCCACTGGAGTCTTGTACACCAGGCTTTGCACGTACCCCCAGAAAAAGAAATCCAGTGAAGTCAAGTCAGTGGAGCGAGGTGGCCAGGTTACTGGGCCTCCACGTCCAATCCCTCTATTGCCAAAGGTTCCAAATATTCACGGACGACATTAGTGCAGTGTATCGGGGCGCCATCATGCTGGAACCAAATTTCACGACGGACTACCAAAGGCACCACTTCCAGCAGCTCGGATGAGGTCTCTTGGAGAAATGTTAGGGAAACGTCACCAGTAAGCCGCTGAGGTATGAGGTAAGGGCGCCCTCCATCACATTTGACAGGGCCTAGCGCGTGAACAAAGCGTTTCCGGACATGGATGTAATTAACAAAATATGATCAGATTGAACCCATCTATCTACCACAGTGTTGTAACATATTTATTTACACCCTGTACAGTATTCTCATGGGTCGCAGTATCAGAGTTTGAGAACTGAAACTACATTGAACTGTCACCGAATTCGAATTTGTTGCTAAAATACATGATTTCCAAATAAGTGAAAACATTTACTTTAAAATGCTTCCGTTTAGACTGCAACTATATCAGAACATCACATGGGCAATGGCGCGTTAACTGGTAGCCATACTGTGAAGACCTCAGGGCCGCCTTGAAAAACAATGCGACAAGAAAACAAAATTCATCAAAGACGATAAGGAACTGAGATCCATCCATTTTACTGGTCGGGTTGAACACGACCTATGACAATAGTGACCCAACCTATTTGCAATAGCAGCAACGAATGGCAATTTCACCACCTGTAACTGCCGAAGGCGAGAGCCTACGGACCTGCATGATGTAGTCCCAGTTCGAGTACATTACTGGCCCACTTTCTTTAATTAGCAGTGCACTATGGCGGTGTTCACAAGGTACCATTGTCTTCGAACGCCAACAGCAACTATTTGAAAGCTGTGTTGATATCTTTACTATCTCCACAGCACATGCCAACAAGCCACTACACCTAACCGTAACTGCTTTTACCCCTGGAGGGTCTTCAAACCCATGAAAAATACTGTAGCGTGTAGAGCCGTTGCTATGCACCGACCGCAAGATGGGCGGACATACCAGAGCCGTTTCTGGGCTACGGCTCGGTAAACACTCTCCCGCGAAACAACAAAACAATGTCCGTTGCTTGGCAGCAGATTCTTAACAATGCAACAGCTGGATTACAACAATGGAAGAGCTGTATTCTACGTGGTCCGTGTCGAGAGACTGTAAGCGGGATAACGAGTCTGTGAAGAGAAACTGAGCCGGATGCACAGGAACAGCCACTGTTGGAGCCGTTACCAGGAAACGTCTAGCAACCGACTGAGAGCACTAACAGCGAACTGTAAAGTGTAGTTACGAGTTGTGTCTGTTAAGTGGTCACTAAATCGAGTCGCCAATACCAATCCCGTCTACAGTCACTCATACACGTGACAATACTAAACGAAATTAGGTTCTGATGGCAGTGAACAAGATTACGGTCTTCTTACATGACGCCGTGTAGGTACTGTAAACAGGTTTCAGAGGCATCATCATCAGCACTGAAGATGGATCCAGTGATCTTCAACAACAAGGCCTTCTGGGTTATGGTGACGTGTAATTTCAGAAACGTCCTAACGTTTCGGAAGAAAACGCTGCCTTTATCCTCAGGGTAAAAAGTCCCTCCGAAACGTCTGTGCCTATCTACCAAACTGCACGATGTCACGTCCTACAAAACGGTATCACCATAGCCAGCTGCAGTGAGAACCTCAACCGTAATCTTGATGGGGAAACGCCTCCAAACCTATCACTGCTACACATGTCGACAAAAACGTTCTTTATGTTCTGAACAACTCCACGTTCAGGCTGGGGGTGAAATTTTCAAAGTCCTTCTACTATGTACAGCAGCATGCAAGACACAAGAAGACCATGTACTAGAAGGCACTCAATGGCCTGATTCCACGATTTTAAGAAAATTAGATTATACCATAGTATAATTTCAAGTATGAGGTCACGTTTTATGCTTGCATCAGTACCGGAACAAGGAAAATATAACGATAAACGTTTGCAACAAGAGGGCACGTTCTGTATCCGTATATTCGTTATCGGAATCTAAATGTTCATGGCTACTCAAGGAAACAGGCTGTAAGAAAAGCAAGAAGTTCTAGGAAGAACTACTCGCCTACTTCCTTCTGATAGAACACAGACCGCACAGAAAACAAAATAAAGGGGGTTACACAGAAAGTAAGGTGATCTCATTAGCCTAATAAAAATTAAAGCTACACCAACATCAGCGTGAGGCTTATGCCTCATAACCCTAAAGAATGGGGGGGGGATATAAAGACATGCCAGACACAGTAAGCAAGGTTATATCACAAGACCCTTTCAATTTTTTTCAAGACAAGGAAAATAGGCTAAAATACGTATTCTAACTAATGCTAAAATTTGTAGAATTTTATATCTTATCAGCATTTACCTACATGTCTTGAAAAACTGACCCACATACTGCGTTTCATTTACTCCTCATTCAGCGACACATTCAACTGCTACGACTACGGAGGGTAGTGACACGATGAACAGTGAATATCTACACAGGATGTGAAGGAAGAGGCAGCGGCCTAGTTCACGGCACTACTTGTTTGAAGGAAGAACCAAAAATCAAGGAAACCCCACTTCGGGCCGACTTGAACTAGCAACACTCCTAATAATAAGCAGGTTTGCCGACTTCTCGGCCGTGATGTCATTGCATGTTGTTCAGTGTGGACCAAAATCAAGAGTTTAGTAAGAAATAAATTTCATACTCTGTTCACGTCGCACCTAAAATACGTTTTGGATTTCACGACCTGGAAGCCCTGAACTTGGGCTGCTGACACGCGAGATACCTGGCCTGCCATCCCTGCTAACTTGCGGACTCGGGTTACACCAATAAATGGTAAAGTTGTCCCTGTGCTTAACTAATTAAGCACTACTTTTTCTTGGCCTCGGCACTAGTTGGAGGCGAGTGGTCAGCTTGACGCACTGGTCACTTTACCCACAGGGTAAGGGCCCCCGGTATCCACTGGATAGGGAACTGTGTCGGTCCCAGAACGGGTCCGGACGTCTTGGTAGGGTAAAGTTTTCCTTGTGCTCAACGAATTAAGCGCTACGCCATGAAGGTGTATGGGGTAGTGGATGTATAGAGCCACATTTTCTTGACATCGGCACTAGGTGGAGGTCTGGACGAATTGAGGACTAAAATTCTTGACTCTACCGGGACTCGAACTTCAAGCCCTCTGGTCATCCAGCCCGTAGCCAGTCGCTATCCCGGCTCCTCAGGTTAAACCGATGCAATCCACAATTACAAATTCACAATACTGGAGAATTAACGGGGCCCTAAATGTACCTTAGAATTCAAAAGACAACTTCCAACCTCAGATCAGCCCAAGATTTATGTTCTGTTTGAAGAATGTTGTCGTTTCATTCCGTATAGTGCAGAGGAGGCACACAGCTAACGTGTGGATTTCGAAATCATCTGGAAACGGAATGCGAATTAAATCCGAAGATAAAGCCCTCCGTGCATAATTGTATACAGAATTTCAAGAGACATCAAAATAACAGAGAAAAAATCCCCTTCGAACTTCCTTTTAGTAATCCGACACGGTTCTTCAATCATTGTGGTAATAATTTGTGGGGCGCTCTGCCCTCTTATGCCCAGATGTGAACAATACGGATCGTCACATATATCGTCTTATTCTCTGTAACTAAATGCTAGGTTAACTCCACTACTATTCTATACACCAGTTACGGTCTGAGTTACAATGACGTCATAACCAGTGCGTCATGTTCGGGTGCGGCAAATTCTTTTCTTTGCTATGGTTTGAACACAGTTTACAGATCTGAGAGTCTGCCGGATCGAAAGTTCTCACAACGGTAGCATGAACATTTCTCTCTTCTGGGACATAACGCCGTATAAGTCCACTGAAAGTCAACCGACGCTTCGGAGAAATATGTCGCCTCCCTCTTCAGGGTCCAAGAATAGGCAATTCTACTTGCTTAATGCTGGTTGCTTGGCTTCGACCCTCAGGAAACAATCGACACGTTCCTCCAAAATGTCTGTTAACTTTAAACGGATTACCAGGCCAGACGATAGTTGTCTTCAGGTTTGGGGTTCTGTATACCAGTTATATGGAAGAAACAACATCCTCCTCCTTATCAGAAGGGGCTTTATCAGGAAAGATGTTCATTCTTATCGCACATGAATGCTCTGTAGATCATTCTCCCGTATTCTAAAATACAGTATTACACTTCAGTTGAAATTTGGGGTCTGACATCATGCATTATGAACAGTTATCTGCCCCAGGTATGCAAGCTATTCGGAATTAATCTCACAATCGTATCATTTCGCTTACGTCAAAATACATTATCGAAGATCTAAAAAAAACGCAACACCTTACAGTCTGAAAACATCACTTTATAATCGAGTAAATGAAATAAAATCGACATTTTCAACAGAATGCGGTCTATATACCGGTAGAATAATTCAAATGTAAGGTAATTACCATTTACCAGATATCACAAAAGTTTAATTTATATTCTACAGTCATAAAAGCATACTACTGAAGTTATATTGGGTCTCCAATAACATTCTTGTATTGTTATAATGCCTGAATATTTTCTCATGAAAAATAACATTCCAAACACGTATTCTTCGACGTTAAACAACGAACCCAAAGCTATGTAACAACAAAAACTTACTAATTTGCCTCCAGCCACCATCTTGAACACTTATTTCCTCACGTTACAGAAATGCAACAACCACTTCGCGTAGCAGAAACGAATACACCTCACTAGTGATGAACAACTTTCGAATACGAACCAACCAAGCCGGCTTTCAGACGTTAGGCACAATGATGCAGTGTTCGGTATAATGTGCTACTCAGGAGCCAGTTTGACGACCTTGAGGGAGTCTGACTAAGCTGAGTTGTTCATCAGCCAATAAAAACACACACATTCAAACCGGTCGACCAATGAAACAGTCTGGATAAAAAAGAAAAAAGAACTTCCTTTCAAACCGTTCAAAATGAAACCCGCAAGTTTCCACCTGTCGTATGTCGCGAACCAGTTGCACAGAACGTTTCGAAACAGTTGAATGTATATATGTGCGACTAAAAAATACCTGTTGCTAATTGGGGACCTGTTGAACACACATAATACTTTGGCCATTTATACATTTATTTAAATTTTATCCTACTGAAGGCAGCTCTCGGAAGAGAAACCTATCAGTAAATTTTAACCATTATCAGTGCCGTAGTGAAAAAAAAAGCAGAAGTTATACCTTTTATGAGGTAAAACTATGATGGGGTGGAGAATATTATCCATGTTTAAACAGTAAACTGCACGGCCGTGATGTTACGATGGTATGAGAAAACGCAGAGCTTAATCTGAATTTCCTTGAAAAGTTTAGTTCAATTACATTTTAGAGATGTGTACACAAAATTAAAAAATAACAATATTTTATCCGTAATCTGATCGAAACTAAAGTAACATTAAGGCCGCGCCATAGCTCAAGCGGTTAGTCGCTGGCTTCCCACCGCAGCCGTCTGGGTTTGATTTCGGGTCTGGTCAAGTGGGATTTGTGGTGGACAAGGTGGCGCTGGGGTGGGTTTTCTCCGAGTACTTCGGTTTCCCCTGCCAATCTTCATTCAGAGCCGTCAGACAGTAAAATGTGATGAATGCCGTGGACTCGGAACGGGGAATCACTGTGCTGCTGACAGTCAGCAGCAATTTAGCAGAAGTGAATTGCAGATACGGAGCAATAAATGTAGCGCCCAAAGAAAAACCGAAGAAGAGGCCCCAATTCTGAACACGTGCACGACTAGGAAAGAACAAAAATCTTGGTCACAGATCTCGGCAAGACTGAAGCCAAGAATGACTGTGCTGACGAGGACCAGCAGCAATTTAACCGACGACTGGAACCATACGTAATATATCTTCCTCTTTATAGCAGTTCTGAGCGATATCAGTCAGTAAAGACGAAAGTATGGAAGTAACTGTGCTGTGTGGTGATTGGCCATCAAGACCTTCCTACCTTACACCTCTTGTAAGCAGGCAATGCCAAGCATTTTCAAGAACTGTAACTACAAGCACTAACAATTCAGACCATTCTCCTGGACTGGCGAAACAGCTTGCGTTGGCGTCAGCAGTGGGCGTACTGGCCAGATTTTGTTAACACGTGTCAAACTTCAATATTACCTATGGTTCCACACTTACGAGACACTTGCAGTCACTCAAAATAGCCAAGAAATTACATGCCCTGTATGTATTACCGAACTCACAACAGCCCACCACTGAGACCCTATTCTGAGCCAAATGGATCCAGTCATCACCCTCACCGCCCAACATCTAGTAAATCTTACGTTTATGTTTACTCTCCTTCACCTTCGAATGTTTCGGTTATAATTTTGTATACATTTATATCCCATGCGTGCTACACGTCCCACTCAGCCACCTTGATCTGATCAACCGAATAATATTTGATGGCATACAAACAATAAATCTTTCCATTATGCAATTTTCTCCATCCCCTGTCACTTCATCCCCTTAGGTCCAAATATCCTTAACACCGTTTTCAGTCTCTAATCTTTGTTTCCTTTGGACTGGTAGGGTAAATTTGTTCCTGTGCTTAACTAATTAAACACTACGATTGTACGCGTGCAGGGGTGTGGATGTATAGATACACATTCTCTGGACTTCGGCACTAGTTGGGAGTGAGTGGTCAGCTTCAAGCCCCGGGGAAAGAGTCCCCGGTACGAATTGGATAGGAGGTTAGGTGAACCCCAGAGCCGGTCTGGATGACTTGGAGAAGAGAAAATTCTTGATCCTACCGGGACTCGAACTCCAACCTCTCGGTCGTCTAGCCCATAGCCAGTCGCTGAACCGACTACGCCATCCCGGCTTCCTTTGGACTGGTAAGAATTATAAGTGACTAATTACATCATTTCGGAGTTCATGGAGGTAGGCCTAGGACCACTGGGGCTTTAGTGCCACGGAAAAAAAATTACGTCATTTACTGGCTCATTTCTGCTTACAGTTCTACCTAATCCGACGATGTATTTCCAGGCTATAATCTCAATAATTCAGGTCTTGTGAGCATGTCAGTTCACCTAGATCCTTAGAAGGCGTGGCCCTCAAAGATGGCGCATGCCTCCAGCGTACACACTCTGAGGCTGGACGCCACATGCTTTTCTCTGCTTCTATTTGGTCCTGGATATTGTCCCCTTATTTGTTACCAGGCTCTGCATGCCACCGGATATCAATCTGTTTTTTTTAATGCTGGTGTGGTGGGACTAAGTCTCTTGTACTGCGGCCAAGTCTGGCTAATTGTACCAGCCCCGATGATAGGTGAGGGTGATTGTGGAGCAACTGGTGTAATGAAGATTGGCAGGGAAACCGAAGTACTCGGAGAAAATCTGCCCCAGTGCCACTTTTGTCCACCACAAATTCCTCTCGACCTGACCCAGGATCGAACCCGGGCCGCCGCGGTGGGAAGCCAGCGACTAACCCCTTGAGCTTTGGCGCCGCCTCAATCTCTGGTTACTCATCCACTTAACTGTGATGTTTCAGACGTTCGAACTGAGACTCACTGATCTGCCGTCAGCCATCCGCAAATGCAGCTTTCCGGGAGAGTAAATAATGTCGACGACATTGCCCGTCAGATTTATTTAAACAGTGTCCTAATATTTGCTCTTACAGCTTCGCGTGGATATGTAGCATCTATTCACCGTATAACTCAAAATTCAACACACGACTTTAACGAAAGAAGCAATTAATTTGCTCTCATAACACAAAAATTTGTTAATGTAATTATAATGAACGCCGGTCACGGTAGCCGAGCGGTCTAAGGCATGCACTGTCTTCGCTCGCTCGGAAGCCGGGATCGTGGGTTCGAATCCCACTCAGGGCATGGATGTTTGTGTGCGTTTTTCTGTGTTTGTGTACAGGTAGAGGCCTTGCGACGAGCTGATCACCCGCCCAAGGAGTCCTACCGTGTGTGTAAGATCTAGAAAAACCGAAGTGAACGAAGAAGTTCATGGAGGTAGGCCTAGGCCCAGTGGGGCTGTAGTGCCAAGAAAAAAAAATTATAATGAACGCCGATCACAGTGGCCGCGCTGTGTAAGGCCGTTCAAATACTGCGGTCGTGGGTTCGAATCCCACTCAAGGCATAGATATCTGTGTATGCGTTTATTCTGTTTTTCTGCCCTGTGTGCAAGAAGAGGCATTGCGACAGGCTGATCCCCGTCTAAGGAATCCTACCGACTGTGTAAAAGATCAAGAAACTGAAATAGCGGTGAAGGCCCAAGAAAGGGCTGTAGAGCCACAGACAGGTAAAGATAATGTAAAGCTATCCCATAGGGTTGTGAGACGTCGAGGCTCCCACATTTTCTCTAGACAATCGGCTCACGGATGGCGGTAAGGTTGTCAGCCTTACGCGCCGGCCGCCCTTTACCCCCAGGAATCTTCACTGTACTCATTTCTGATAGAGGTTGAGTCGACCCGAGGGCCATAGTCCGGCTCGAAGGATTAGGTAAATTGAAAAAGAAATCAATCTCATCGGGACTCGAAACCGCGACCTCCCGGCCTGTAGCATAGTGCTAGAATTATTAAAAAAAACAACGCTGTCATATGTGTACGCTTAATCTGAATTAATTCAAAACAAAATAAAACTAGCAGGCAAAGAGTTCGCAACGGAAGCGCTGAACCTACTTTGGTGGTCATATGAGTACAGATACCGCAGTTTGAGAAACTGCTCTACAGGAAGACAAACACTGCACAGCTGTCTTTGCGAAAACATATTTATGATTCTGACTAAACGTCGCTCGTATATATATATATATATATATAGCGTGCAGGACACATGCAGCAAAATTTCACCACACGGATTCTGTATTGACATGTAAATGGTTGTTGTCCCTGTGTTTAATGAACTAAGCACCACGCCATGGGGACATATGAAGGGGTGCAGGTACAATGGACATAATAAAGGCTGTATGATGGATATGGGCCAATCATTAGCGTCGTTAAAGTACTTCAAAAGTTTCAATGTGCTAGACCATTCTGAAAGGGAGATTACAAATTAGCGTCCTTCCTCTCCAAACAGTAGATTCGATTCGCAGGAAATCAAAACTAACGTAACAAATCAGAACGTAATTTCCTGTTTCGGAGAAACCTACTTGGCGTCAACACAGGTTTAAACAATACAGAACCTGAATTAACGTCCAGAATCAACAATGGTACCTCAAATGCTGCTGACATTTTACAGAAAATTAATATAGATAACCCGAAAAAAAAAACTTTCTTTACACCTTCATGTTCTTTTATTTTTGTCAACTTCGTTCTCTTTGGGAGGTGATGCATGATACACACACTTCAGACACTGAAATACAGGCAAAATAAGGAGCTCTCGTTAGTGGGTGGGTGTCTTCAAATAAACTCAACCAAGAAATACATTAATTGGGCTGTAGCGGCGTGGCCTATGAAGACTGAAGTTATCTTGAAAGTTGCCCTTGGGGTCACGAACTTAACCCGGACTTTGTTGCTAATAAAAACAGGATACGTCTGTCGAAGGAAAAAAGTAACAACGCCTTCAGCTAGTTTACTATCTCATCTCCATCTCCATGACAAAGTTCTGGCTCATAACCTTGGGTAGTACTTCACATGTTTAAATTTAAACAAAAATGCATCTTGCAACCTCAGACATAAATACTGAAGCTGCAACTAATGAATAATCGAAGGCTTCCAATTCATCTGTGGCAAACTCCTGAAGATGTGAAAATGTTATGGAAAACAGACTCTCATGGGTAAATTACTCTTTTCTGCGACGTAATGCAGCACAATCTGCAATACCGTTACCGGCATTTCAAAT